CAAGGGGAAAAGGAAAAAATAAAAAAAAATTTAAAAAAAAAAAAAAAAAAAAAAAAAAAAAAACCACTTTTACTTTGGTGCTGAGTGACAAGGAACCAGCCAAGATTAGATGGGGAAATGTTCTAGGCTGAGGGGCTAGCTAGTACAAAGACCGTGAGGATGGAATGAGTGTGACCTGTTGTAAAAGAAAAGTGATGGGACTGAAGCTTACCAATGGAAGGCAAGAATGGTAAAAGATGAATTTAGAGGAGCTGTAGGCAAGCGCCAGAATATGTAGGGCCTTGTATCTTTGAAGAAGGATTTACATCTTATTTTAAGAGTGACGGGAAGCCATTTGAAGGGTCTTAAGTATGGGAGTGGTGGGATCTGATTTATGATCAGATGGCTGTTCCTCAGAGAATGGGGGTGACAGGAAGAAGCAAGAGTGTAGGCCAGGAGATCAGACTTAAATGTTGCTGTTGGAGTCCATTGCTTGTCACTAAAGATAATTCTAAAATAGTGGCTATTAACCTTGTTTGGGTCACAGTTCCTTTATTAATACTATAAAAGCCATGCCTTATACTTGAGAGCAGTATTGTCCAATAGAACTGTCTGCAGTGATGGAAATATTCTGTGTCAGCGCTGTCCAATGTGATATCCACTAGCCATATGTAGCTACTCAGCACTTGAGCTGAAGCTACTGCAACTGAGGAAACTGAATTTTTTATTTTATTTTAATTACTTTAAATAGTTGCATGTGGCTAGTGGCTACTATATTGGGCAGTGCAGCTCTAGAAAAATGTTCACACGAACAGTAGGCTCATGAAAGCTATCTGAAGCCACTAGTAAATCTCAGCTCTAAAAAAAGTCCACTGTAAAATTTGAGAATTTTAGTATTGTGAGCAGTTCAATTTTTCAGTATGTTCATATTCGAATTGTGTTGCAATTCAAGAGAGTATTCAACAGTCTGTATACTTCAGTTCCTAAACATTTTGGGGGCAAATACTTTAAGCTGGAATTCTCAGTGAACATAGAACTGCTAGCTTTATAAAGTCCAAGTTTTAATACAGTAAGAAAAATATTCATACCACATTTCAACTTTTAGTTAGAAAATACTCAGGGATAGCAGGTTAGTTCAGTTGGTTCGATCCTGGTGCTGATAACACCAAGGTCTAGGGTTTGATCCCTGTTCTGGCCAGTTTTTTTTAAAAAAATGGAAAGGTATTTTATCTGAAATATCTCTTATCCTTTCTTTAATTAGTCTTCGCACTCTTCCCCGTACTTTTCACTACATAAAAAAAGTTAAAGGCCTTATGATCTGATGTGTAAGTAAGTACCTGTGGTCCTTAAAAATGTCATGCTTTGTTCACTCAACAGTGAGGAAAATAATGGATTATTTATGATTATCAAGCACCATATTTTACATACATAAATCTTGTTTTATTGTTTCAACAATCCTGTGAGGTAGGTACACTATTATAATTACCCCATTTTATAGATGAAGAAAAATACTAGGAAAATTGCCCAAAGTTGTGTACTTAATTAGCCAGAAAGCTAAGGTTTGTAACCAGCCAGTCATACTCTCTACTGTGTGCTAAATACTAAGCTATACTGCCTCTTTATTAAGAACAAGATATGCAAAGATGTCTTGTATTTGAAAGTTCTAATTTCACTGTCCTGACTAATCACAACTTTTCTCTTACAGCATTTTTCAGGATTAGAAGAGGCTGTGTATAGAAATATACAAGCTTGTAAGGAACTTGCCCAAACCACTCGTACGGCATATGGACCAAATGGTAATTTCTAAATTCACACTTTACAGTAATAGAATTTTGTACTAGCTTTTCTTTCAAACTTGTTGGGAGGTTATTATATTTACAGTATGGCTTTGCAAGTTATTTCATGGTTCATTGATACCAGTACAGTGTTTCCAGTTTTTAATCTGCAACTGAGATCTCTTTAGAATGAGAGGACAGAAAAATTATAGTACTTTCACTATTGAGATAGTACCTAATGGTCATTGTGACAGACACTGCATAGTTCTTTTGTAAAAAGTGACATTATCATTCAAGGGAGAGAATTCTCTCTTTTCCTTTCTTACCTTCTACTTCCAATTGAAATTTAATTGCTACAGAGTTAAGGAATAAGCATAAAACTGAATATACTTTTAAGTAGATTATTTTGGTCTTTGTACATGTTAATATAATTTCTATATTGAGCACTTGTTGCATGCCAACCATGTTGCAAACAGAAGATAGAAGTTGGCAAAAATGTCATGCAATTTGGCATCCTTCCTAGTAGATATTATGAGAGATTAGAAAAGAAAGAAATATAGGCTGGCCCGTGGCTCACTTCGAAGAGTGTGGTGCTGATAACACCAAGGCCATGGGTTCGGATCCCTATATAGGGATGGCCGATTAGCTCACTTTGGAGAGTGTGGTGCTGACAACACAAGTCAAGGATTAAGATCCCCTTACCAGTCATCTTTTTTTTAAAAAAAAAAAAGAAAAGAAAGAAATATAGGCTGGCCCGGGGCTCACTTCGAAGAGTGTGGTGCTGATAACACCAAGGCCATGGGTTCGGATCCCTATATAGGGATGGCCGATTAGCTCACTTTGGAGAGTGTGGTGCTGACAACACAAGTCAAGGATTAAGATCCCCTTACCAGTCATCTTTTTTTTAAAAAAAAAAAAAGAAAAGAAAGAAATATGGGTGTGTGGTTTGAGAAGGCCCATGAGGCTGTGCGATTAACTTACAGAATAATAGCATATGTTGTCTGCTTACAAAACTATTCATTTCTTGACTAGATTTTTCTGGGTATTTGGGGAAGGATTTGAATAATAATGGATTTCTCTTCTTTTAATTTGGAGGGATGAACAAAATGGTTATCAACCACCTGGAGAAGTTGTTTGTGACAAATGATGCAGCAACTATTTTAAGAGAGCTAGAAGTAAGTTATTTCTTTAAAAAGAACCAAGAAGTGTTTTGGTAACATCAGAGTATATCTTAAGTATTATTAATACTTTCATGTTGGATAATAAGGAACTATTTTTTTCCAACTTGAAAATTTATTGTACAATTTTTCTAATTATGGAGTGTCCTCTATAGGTTGTAACATTTTATTTAGCCATTCAAATTTTTTAAGTCTCTTGTTATTAATTTATGGAGAGATTGGTTGTGATAAAAATATATTTGTTAATCATATCAAATTGATTATTATTGTCTTGTTCTATAGAGTGACAATTGAAGGGAATTATTCTATAATGCAGAAATAGCTGATACATAAAACAGTGGTTTCAAAAAAGATTAAACCATTTGCTTGCCTTTATAAAAATAAAAACAGTTAATTGATGGAATTTTCCTATGTTCAGCTGCAATTTTGATATTATAGAGTGTATAGAATAGATACTGCCAGCAGAGTTATAAGGAAGGTCTGGCACCCGAACATGCATTAAGAGCCATTCCTCATCTAGCTACCCAGTAATTGAAGGATATGTTCAACCTCAAGAAATTTTCCTGAAGCTTAGCCC